GGGGTGGTGGGGGAGGAGGGCCCACGAAACGCTGTCCTGGGTGGGGGGGGGCGCACGCGGAAGGTAGCAGTGGGACCTTCGGTGGAGCTCCTCATGGGGCTGCGAAATTTGTACTGGGTGGGTGAAACGCAGGGAGGAGTGGGAGGAGGGCCACGAAACGCTGTAATGGGTGGGGGGGGGCGTATGCGGACAGTAGACCTGGAACCTTCGGTGGAGCTCCCTATGGGGCCACGAAGCGGTGTACTGGGTTGGTGAAACGCAGGGAGGAGTGGGAGGAGGGCCACGAAACGCTGTACTGGGTGGGGGGGGCGCATGCGGCTGGTAGGCTTGGCACCTTCGGTGGAGCTCCCTATGGGGCCACGAAGCGCTGTATTGGGTGGGTGAAGCGCAGGGAGGAGGGTGAAGCGCAGGGAGGAGGGAGGAGGGGGAGGAGGGGGAGGAGGGGGAGGGATGATGGCAAGCTAGGTGCGCTCGCGTCATATCTGACGTCCTACCCCTCCCTCCCATCCCTTACCATGGCGCTGATTTTCTCTATCCGCGGACGCGTGTCGTAGCGGACCTGTGGCTCCGCGCGCGCGTGCGTAGTGGGTGGTGGTGCGCGTGCGTGCGTGCGTGCGTGTGTGCGTCGTTGTGGTGGTGGTGGTGGTGGTGGTGGTGGTGGTGGGTGGGTGGTGGTGGTGCTGGTGGTGGTGGTGCTGCTGGTGCTGCTGGTGCTGGTGCTGGTGGTGGTGCTGGTGCTGGTGGTTGTGATGGTGGTGGTGGTGGTGGTGGTGGTGGTGGTGGTGGTGGTGGTGCGGCGCGGTGGTGGCTGGCGGATGGGCGCGCGAGAAAGAGGCCCGCGCTGGGGCGAGAACTGCATCCTGAACGGCGGAGGCCAAACACCGATCCGAAAATGAGGCCCACGCTGCAGCGGGAGCACGATTCGGAACGATTCGGGAGCAGAAATGAGGCCGGCGCCTCAGCGAGAACAGCATTTTGAAAAAAAAGCAGGCGAACACCCGTTTCTTGGGAATCCCGTGTGTACAAAAGCAGTACGCGGGGGGGGGTCGGATATCTTCGGGACGCCATCGGGGGAAGAGGGAGAGTATTTTCATATTGTGTAATTGTGGAGGAGGAGAGGAGAGGAGGAACGCGGGGACCGTTTCTTCAAAACGAGGACCCAACACCACAGTACATTCTTTCAGTAATGCGTCAGAGAAAGAACGATCTACCCCCCATTGGGGGGGTACGAATTGTGGGTCTCATGAGCAAAACCGTTCAATACACTACTATACTGTGAGGGGACTTCGGTGGAGCTGTCTGTGGGGCCGCGAAATCTGCGAGGAATGCGCCGACATGAGCTGGGCCACCGTGCGGGGTGCCGAAGTGGGGCGAGCCACCCTGTGGACGCAGCCACAGTGGCCCTCAGTGGAAGCCCCTTTGTTGGGCACGAGTCATGTGCGGGGCGTGCTGAAGTGGGGAGGGTTACCCTGCGGACGCAGCCACCTGGGCCTCCGGTGGAGCTCCCTAAGGGGTTGCGACATTTGTGAGGAGTGTGCCGAAATGGGGCGGGCCGCCATGCGAACCTTGCCATTGGAGCCTTCGGTGGAGTTCCATGTGGGGTCACGAAGCGTGTGATGGGTTTGCCGCAATGGGGCGGGTCACCATGAGGACGCAACCACTGGAGCATCCAGTGGAGCCCCTTATGGGAAAGGAAAAGGTGTGAAGAGTGTGGCGAAACGGTGATGATAATGATGCTAGTGGTGACGAGTATCAAGATGATGATGCTGACGATGACGATGGTGACGACGACGAGGATTATGCTAATGACAAGGATGAGGAGGACGAGGACAGGATGGGGAGGATGTGAGGAGGTGGAACTTTTTTTTTATCAAGTGTGCGACCGCGGCCTACAGCAAGTCAGTCCGAGAGATTCGTTACGTTTCAGCGTGCTGGCTTTCCTTGCAAGAGCAGGTCGGATAGATCTGCAACGACGCCGTCGAGAGGCGGCCGAAATCTGCTCCCCGCCCCCTCTGGAGTGTGTGTGTGTGGTGGGACGGAGTTATAACACGGCAGAACTCTCGTTATCTTCGGCGTGTAGGTCTCGAGTTCCTTTGGGGGTGTCGAGGTCTAAACCCTATCTTGCTTAAGCGTGTCCCAGAGGAAGACCTCAGAGGCCACGCCTTCCATGTTTCTTGGTTCACCAAGATATTGCAGCGATGTTGTGCACGCGTTGTGGAGTCTTCGCCTGGACGACGTGCGGCCCTAAACTTCTGGGTTGTTGTCTGCCGCCTCGCCGATACAGTGGGGGACGCACACTCGTCATATGGCGAGCTTCCTGGTAGGCAGCTGAGCATGGGCCTGTCGCCCGAGCCGCTCTCCCGTCTTCGTGGGATGCTGGCGGCTCGGGGTCAGGATCTGACTGACCAGGTTGCCGCCCTTCCTCCTCCTCCTCCTCCTCTTCCTCCTCCTCCTCCTCTTCCTCCTCCTCCTCTTCCTCCTCCTCCTCCTCTTCCTCCTCCTCCTCCTCTCCTTCACGTGCTCTGGTCTGGCCTGGTGCTTGTATGAGCACGAGGATGTGGCTGAGAACTGAGAGCTTCGCTGCGGACTCGAAACACGAGGACCTAAGATGCAGGAGCATTGGAAACAACAGGTGGACGAGGAAGAGGAGGGGGAGAGGAGGAGGACGGAAGGCAGGAGAAAATGCGCGGCGCTGCGGACTTAGAACGAGGAGCCGGCTCAAAGGAGGGTTGGGACAACCAGATCCGGGTGTCAGGGGGGGCGACGATCGGGGATGCGCTCAGGGGGTGGGATCGAGGTTCGATGTTCTTGGGCGCTCTCGTCGGATCTCGGCGGCTTTCCGGCCTCAGGGTGCCTTCCGGCGGCTGCGCCCCGCCGAGAGCGTTCCTTGGATGCCCGGATCCTCCTGAAACGCTTGCGGCCCGAGGCATGGCCCGAAGCCGATCCGAACCAGGGCCAACGTCAGGGGGGGATAGAGTCAGGGGGACATGCATCGACCCCCACTCGCCCATTCGTCGCCGAGGGGGGCATGGCAGCCGCTGTCGAGAGCCCTTCGCCGATGTATCGGCGACCTGTCGCCGATTCCAGGTCAATGTTCCTCCCCCTGAGCCAGTCCCCCCTCTCGTCCATCTCATTGCTGTCTTGCTTCTCCTCCGCCTGCCCTCCCGACGACATGCAAGGCGCAATGCGATCGCCGCTCTAGAGTCTTTGCATGAGACATCGAGCTGGATGCCGGCTTTTCCTCAAACGTTTTGGGCGAGAGCGAGCTTTCGGAAGTTCTTGGCGCGCTGACTTCTTGACACCCATCAGACATCTTTTGAAACAAAAACAGCTTCCCGTGTAAATGAGGACAAACACGGAGCTTGATCACCGGGTGGCGCCAGAAGTGAAGAGATCGGGAGCCTTGAGACGGGGGTCAATACAGACGGGGGTCAGCCAGGGCGCCAGATCCCGCAGGATCCTGCGAAGACCCCCTCTGGCTGAGCCCGGTTAGGGAGCCGCTCGTGGCCGCGAGGCGGCCGCGCGTATTGGCTGACCTGGGTCTGCGAAGACCTGCGGTGCAGTTTTTTTCTCCTGCATTGCAGTTTTTGGTTTCCTGCTGACCCGGGTCTGGATTGACCCGGGTCAGAAGATCCCCGAAGAGATTGCTCTTGAAAAGGAGCGTGACTGTACAGGCTCCAAGCGGCTCGAGCTGTTGGACTCCGCGGTCGGGGGCACCATCCTGCACGCAGCCATGCCGTGGCCGTGGACGCCACGAGCGGCAGAGCTGCGTGCGCGGAAGGCCGGTCGGGGGAACCGATGAGGCGCATCTGCGGCTCCGAGCGTGTTCCTGGATGGTGTTGCGCCGGCTGGGTCAGGAGGAGGAGGAGGAGGAGGAGGAGGAGGAGGAGGAGGAAGAAGAGAAGGAGGAGGAGGAGGAGGAGGAGGAGGAGGAAGGAGGAGAGGAGGAGAGAGGATGAGGATGAGGAAGGAGGAGGAGGAGAGGAGAAGGAGGAGAGAGGAGGAGGAGGAGGAGGAGGAGGAGGGGAGGAGGAGGAGGCGGAGGAGGAGGAGGAGGAGGAGGAGGAGGAGGGGGAGGAGGACGAGGAGGAGGAGAGCGAGCTGCAAGTCACGGGCGAAGGCTTCGGGTGCCGGCGTGCGGGCGTGGGTGCGCGCCAGTGCCCGGAGGAGGTGGGCGTAGGCTGGGCACGGCTCAGTGCTGCCGCCGGCTACGTGGGCATGGGTAAGGGGCCACATGCGAACTCTACCCCTACCCCCCACGAGTTCTGAGGGGGAGGGTGGGGTTCACTTCGTTCGGGAGCTCTTGAGCGAAGTGAACCCCACCCTCCCCCTCAGAAATCGTGGGGGGTAGGGGTACGGTAGGGTTCGCATGTGGCCCCCTAATGGAGCTCTTTTTTTGTGGGATCCAGATTGGACTTCGCCGGCATGGCAGCACGGCAGCACCGTCGGCGAGCGCAGCTGGACCCGCCCGGCTGCCCAGCGAGGCCAGCGGCGAGAGTTCTTTGCCTGGTCTCGTGGGCCGGCATTCGCCGGGGTGCTCTTCAGCTGTCGCGCGGGAGCGGGCCCGTGCGCGTGCGAGGAGCGTTTGCGGGAAGGCGCGCGTGCCGTGGGCCTCTCGGCGCCTGCGCGCCCGCGATTTTCGCCGCTGCGCCGGCCCTGCCGCTCCGCCGCTTCCCCCCCCCCACCCCGAGCACTGCCGGGGCGCCGCGAGGAAACCGTTGCGGCCGCTTTTTCCTATCGATCCGCCGCCTCGACGCGTACCGCGTGGAGCGAGTGGCCGGCGGCGCTGGTCGTGCGCCTCGCCGCGGCGTCAGGCGTCGGGGCGTGCGTGGCCCCTCCCCCAGGACGGGCGGAGCGCCGTGGCGGAGTACGGCACGCAGGGGGACGCCTGGAAGGCCGTCCACGCCCTGGTGGTCAAGGTGTGGGGTGGAGGGGAGAGGGACTTGGCATCGCTCGGACGTGTGCATTTTTTCTCGGCGAGAACCATCGAGGACCATCCTGGACCATCGAGCAAAAAAAACACGCACGAAACCGACAAATGCACGGGAAATGGACGTCCGAGCGACGGCAAGGGGAGGATCACGAGCGGCAAACACATTACCACATCCACGCCCTCGCGGTCTGGGTTCCTGGGCGCTGTCCGATGGATGCGCGGTGGCACGGGCACGTCCCGCGCGGGGCATGTGCGAGCAGAACGCTCCGTATCCGTGTGGTCGTGGCTCCGCGAGGCCGTGGATGTGGATTCGTTTCCCGTCCACGAGAAGAGGATGAAGGCAGGAGCCCCGCGTCGTTGAGCCATCGTGAGTACAGGCCACTTGGCCTCACGTCGTCTAGATAACCACAATGAGCATGGTCAGTTGTCGGCTGATTCTTGCTGCCCCTCGGGCCGCCAACGAATCGGCTGCCAAGGGGGAGGCGAAGGCGGAAGTGGGAGAGAGTGAGGGCGAGCTCACGGTCGAGAAAATCTACGAGAAGAAGGACAACAGCGGAGGCGGAGTTGAGGGAGCAGGCTGCAGCATCTTCATAGGCAACCTCAGCTTTGAGGCCACGGAGGCGGAGCTGAGAGAGCGCGTCGACAACGTCGGAATCGTGAAGCAGCTGAGGCCCTTGGGCCGCGTTGGCCACCCTATAGAGCCACGGACCCACTATACCCTCCATCCGAAATCTGCAGCTACAGGCCACCAGCGATGGCCAGGTCTATCCTCGTCCCTTGCCGAGGCTAGGAGGGCATTTATCAGTCCAGACCCCTGGAAGGGCCTGGCCAGGGAGGGCTGGATTCGGTATACTCAGCGCCACGAGAAACAATCACTGTTAGTAATCATGTGTGTTTGATTGCTTGGTTGTGCCCGGGCCCGCCTTGTCCCTGAGGGTAGCCAACCGATCATTCTGAGAGGCTCGTGTGCGACAGGGACACCGGCCAGCGGAAGGGCTACGCCTTCTGCGACTTCCACGACGCGTTCACCGCAGACGCCGCGATCCAGGTTAGCGGGATGGGGGTTCCGAATGAGATTGTCAGAGATTGTCTGGGCTATCTCAGGTCGGGGGGTTCTGCCCTCGAGAGGAAGCGTCCCAACGTTCCCAGTCTCCACCGCACCGCACTTGTCCTGCTTGATCTGGTCAGGGTGCGTTGCCTCACTGCAGGTGATGGACGGCATGGAGCTCCACGGCCGCAAGCTGAGGGTCACCGCAGGAGGAGGAGACGGAGGAAGAGCAGGAGGATGCGGATGAGGAGAAGGCCAGTTCAGCTGTGGGGGTGCGAGTAAAATCGCGCATCGCGCCTCGCGCTCGTTGTCCCTTCCTTCCCTTCCTTCCTCCTCCCCCGTGCCAGTCGTCGTCGAGGGAGGTGCGACGGCAGTCATGAATCGCACGTCGCGCCCCCAGGGGGCGCGAGTGCAGCGGATCTGGAGGAGAGGACGAGGACGGGGCAGTAGTCTGCAGCGGTGACTGCAGTGTTGCTGCGGTTCCTTGGTTTGGAGGCCCATGCAGCTGCGCCGCTCATTAAGACGCCTCGCCTCGCTAATCTGGGCCGGCGTTTCTTCGGTGGCCTTCCCAGAAATTGGCCCGGTTTCGACAGTCCCACTGCGCATCCGCGAGGCTGCACGTGCGAGGCTGGCTCAGCGTTTGCTCAGGATGGTACCGCCCAGGTTTTTTTTGGACTAAGCGCGTCTTAGTCACATCCTCGGCTGTACCTGTAATTAATTGTGTGCGCACAGCTGGATTCAGCGCTTCTTCGTCCTATCCCCCGCTGCACTTGCAATTGTATTCGCGCCGCTCATTCTGCTCCTGAGTCTACGCCTTATCATCGCAGACGTCTCCGGCGAGTCACCGCCACCCGCGTGTGGCCGAAAAGCAGGCCTTCTACTTGTCCTCTTCAACAGCATGGTGGCGCTTCGCTGGGGGTATCGTCTGAGGACGAGGATGACGATGAGGATGCTGATGCTGATGATGATGATGATGATGAGGATGATGATGATGATAATGATGATGGCGATCATCATCATGATCATGATGGTGAGGAGGAGACGGAGGCGGAGGCGGAGGAGGAGGATAATAATGAGGATAATGGTGACAATGATCATGCGGACGACGACGAGGACAATGACGATAATGATAGCGATGATGATGCTGGGATAATGGAGATGATGGCGGTGGTGATTCGGATGAAGATCCTGATGATGATGATGATGATGATTATGATGAGGAGAAGGTTGAGGAACGGAGATGGAGGAGGAGAAGGATGATGATACTGATATGATGATGATGCTGCTGATGATGATGATGATGATGATGCTGACCGTGATGATGATACTGCACTGATGATGATGCTGATAATGATGATGCTGATGATGATAATGCTCATGATCATGATGCTGATGATGATGTTGATGGTGATGATGCTGATGCTGATGAAGATGATGATGCTGCTGGTGCTGACGATGCGGGTAATGGTGATGCTGATGATGCGGCTGCTGCTGCTGATGATGATGATGATTATGATGATGATACTGATGATGACAATGCGGAGGAGGAGGAGGAGAAGACGGAGGCGGAGGCGGAGAAGGAGGATCATATTGAGGATGACGATGATGATGAGCATGCGGATGAGGATGATAATGATGATGTTGATATTGATGATGATGACGACGACGAGGTTAACGATGACGATTATGATAGCGATGCTGATAGCGATGATGCTGCTGGGCTGATGCAGATGATGGCGGTGGTGATTCGGATAATGATGTTGACATTGATGATGATGACGACGACGAGGTTAACGATGACAATTATGATAGCGATGCTGATTGCGATCATGCTGCTGGGCTGATGAAGATGATGGCGGTGGTGATTCGGATAATGATGTTGACATTGATGATGATGACGACGACGAGGTTAACAATGACAATTATGATAGCGATGCTGATTGCGATCATGCTGCTGGGCTGATGAAGATGATGGCGGTGGTGATTCGGATGATGATGTTGATGATGATGACGATGGCAATGATGTTGATGCTGATGGTGATGATAATGATGATGCTGCTCATGCTGAATATGATTCTGAGGTTGATGCTGCTGATGATAAAGAGGATGCTGATGATGATGATGATGATGATGCTGATAGTGATGATGATGATGATGAGGATGCTGCTGATGATGATGATGATGCTGACGACGACATGATGATGCTGATGATGATGCTGACGATGATGAGGATGATAATGAGGAGGAGGCGGATGATGATGATGATGATGATGATGATGATGATGATGATGATGATGATGATGATGATGATGCTGATGATGATGATGATGATGATGATGATGAGGAGGAGGAGGAGGAGGAGGAGGAGGAGGAGGAGGAGGAGGTGGAGGAGGAGGAGGAGGAGGAAGAAAAGAGGAGTTGGAGAAGGAGGAGGAGGAGCAGGAGGAGGAGGAGGAGGAGGACCAGTGCAAACCTCAGAGTCATCAACGATGTTGGAGTAAACCCTCCCTCCAAGCTCCCTCTTCATGGGCCCCTACAACGGTTCATTTCCATTGAGGGAACTGCCTCGTTGGAAGACACCCGTTTGAAGACCCAGGAGTATGCCAAAACATTATTCTCGGGGTTCCAACGCCACGGATCAAGCTGATTGTTGCGTCTTGACACTCCTGAATCGTGCCAGAACGCCATTCCGAGGACTTCAACACAGAGAATTAACCTAACTGTTGCACCCGCAAAATCCAGAATCCTTCCAAAACACCATGTCTGGTACATTAATGATGGGAACCCGTGAAACTCTTGCAAATGTTTACGACGAATGTGCGCCGCGCTAGGGCGAAAGCCACATGTTGAAAAGGAGCCGCACTCAATCCGTGAAACTTCTGCAGTTTTTTTAAAGCGAATGTGCGCCGCGCTAAGGCGAGAGCCACATTTTGAATGCCACTCGCCCTCAATCCGTGAAACTCTTGCAAGTGTTCAAAAGGAATGTGCGCCGCGCTAAGGCGAGAGCCACATTTTGAAAACGACCCGCCCTCAATGCGTGAAGCTCTGGCAAATATTGAAAACGAATGTGCGCCGCGCTAAGGCGAGAGCGGCATTTTGAAAACGACCCGCCCTCAATCCGTTAAGCTCTTGCAATTTCTTTGAAACGAATGTGCGCCGCGCTCAGGCGAGAGCCACATTTTGAAAACCACCCGCCCTCCATCTGTGAAGCTGTTGCCAATGGTTTAGCTTCATAGTCGTAAATGGTGAGGACGTCTCGGACGAAACGCCCAGCCCGCCCTAAAAAATGGCCTCGGGGTGCGACAGGGAGAATTTATGTGCGAGGAAAGTGGAGGAGCAGGAGGAGGAGGAGAAGGAGGAGGAGGAGTTGGAGGAGGAGGAGAAGGGAGGAAACTGAGGATGATGATGATGATGATGATGATGATGATGATGATGATGATGATGATGATGATGATGATGATGATGATGATGATGATGATGATGATGATGATGATGCTGATGATGATGATGATGATGATGATGATGATGATGATGATGATGATGATGATGATGATGATGATGATGATGATGATGATGATGATGATGATGATGATGATGATGATGATGATGATGATGATGATGATGATGATGATGATGATGATGATGATGATGATGATGATGATGATGATGATGATGATGATGATGATGATGATGATGATGATGATGATGATGATGAGATGAGGAGGAGGAGGAGGAGGAGGAGGAGGAGGAGGAGGAGGAGGAGGAGGAGGAAGATGAAGATGAGGAGGAGGGAGGATGAGTAGGGGGAGGAGCAGGAGGAGGAGGAGAAGGAGGAGGAGGAGGAGCAGGAGCAGGACGAGGAAGAGGAGGAGGGGGATGACCCGCAGGTCACCCTGTCCACGGTGGCGCGCGGGGAGAAGCCGCCGCCCAAGGCCGACGCCGCGGACGCCAGCGCGAAGGCGGCCTGCCGCGCTGTGATCACCGGCCTGCCTGAGGACTGGCTCGCCATGGGCCAGGAGGACTTGGTGCTTTTTTTTTCACAGCCCTGGTCGCGTTCTTCGTTTGGACAGAGCACTGCTCGCGCTGCCTCCCCACCCCCTCCTCCGCCTGCCTCCTCCTGCATCTTGGGCGTCCTGTTGAGGGCTGCGAAGTGCGCAACTGTCAGCACTTTCGTGGGCTCCTGGGATGCCGCCGTGGCAGGGCCACGCAGATCGAGCATATCTCGCAGTGTGTTCTTTCGAATGGAACGCTCATATAAATAATCGCCTCGCGTGGAGAAGCGGCTTCGCACATCTCGGGTAAATGATTCTTCCTCGGCCCCCCACACTTCTTTTACCTCCACACCCTCCAAATTGCGGTCAGGAGCTTTTGGCTCAGCGTGTCGCCTCGCAGAATTTGGCCCACCACGCTTCGGCGCGACACGCTATCCACGTTCCCGCTCCCAAGCGTCAACGTCCGGAGCTGTTCCCAGCCTTCCGCCCCGCAGACCAGAGACCAGAGCTTCACGCTACCCGCTCGCAGCACATCGCGTGTCGCCGGGGCCGCCGTCACGACACGCTAAGCAGAAGTTCCCGACGATGCACTTGGCTTCGAAGGGAACAAGGACGTTCTCCTAAGGCTAGACTTTCGGGTCGTGTTTTGTTGTTCAGCTAGGGCATTGCGCCGTGAGGAAGTCATGCTGGAGTTTGTGCTGCTGTTTTCGATCTCCGCCCTCCCCGGGCCCTGGGCCGTCAAGACACAACTCGGGCCCTGGGCCTCTAGGGGTCCGCGCCGTGAAAAATCATGACGTCGGGGAGCAGGATCAGGGCGGGAGGTCTTCCGCCGTCTCCGGCCACCCAGGTCGGCGACTTGGATCCGTCACGTGATGCGAATCGCAGGAGGAGGAGGAGGAGGAGGAGGAGGAGGAGGAGGAGGAGGAGGAGGAGGAGGAGGAGGAGGAGGAGGAGGAGGAGGAGGAGGAGGAGGAGGAGGAGGAGGATAGAAAGAGGAGGAGGAGCAGGGGGATTCGGTGGGGAGGGGGGAACTTCGCGCATCGCGTGACGAAATCCCTCTGCCTACCAGGGTCCCTTGTCAGGCCTTCGGGGCCGTCGAGCAGCCGCCCAGGAGGAGAGGCGGGTCCTGGGCAAGGGCGCCCTCGAGGGCGCGAAGCTATTCGCGCTTCGCGCTCCGCGGTCCGGCTCCGATTCCCCCTCATCCTCCTCCTCCCCTGGGAGGCGGCGCGAGGGCGCGAAGTGATGCGCACTCCGCGCTTCGCGCAGCGCGAGAGCGCGACGTTGGGAGCCCTTGCTGGGGGAGGGGTGGAGGCCTCGGGGGGGCCCACGCCGCGAACGCATCGCGACGTCGGGGGCCCGGGGAGGAGGGAGTGGCGCGCCAGGCGCGCGAGGGGCGGCCTCCGAGGGAGGCGGGCGCCTTCGCAGAAGTTGATGGGCCTGCTTTCCACCACCACCACCACCACCATAGCTTGGAGGGGGAGGGGCTCCTCCTCCTCCTCCTCCTCCTCCTCCTCCTCCTCCTCCTCCTCCTCCATCCTCCTCCTCCTCCTCCTCCTCCTCCTCCTCCTCCTCCTGCTCCTCCTCCGCCCTCCTCCTCCCTCCTCCCTTCTCCTCCCTCCTCCTCCCTCCTCCTCCCTCCTCCTCCCTCCTCCCTCCTCCCTCCTCCCTCCTCCCCTGTGGCCTCTGAGAGGCCCGCGTCAGAAGCCACGGGCCCCTGATTGTTTGAGTGCAGGACTGCCTTAGCTTTGGTTTGTCTCGGCTTGCCAGGGCTCAGCGGTGGAGTACAAGCCTGGCAGGTCCTGCCAGTGGTCGTACGCTCGTCTCCAAGATGAAGCCGTGCGTGTCTCATATGTGGAAGCTTCTGTACGGCGAAACCGCGAATCCCGAGAAGGCCCCTGCCATGTCAGCTTGCCCCCCCCCTCACCATCTTTGTCTAGGCCTCCTGGCTGGGGTCGGAGAAGCTGGGGTCGGAGGATCGCGCCGCCTCGCCGACGCATCGCCGGTGCGGCTCGCTGTGCAGCCCGATGTGTGCTTGGCACGTCGACGTGTCGCCACTTGCACCGCCGACGCGTCGACGAGGCATCGCGCCGGTGCATCGCGCCGAGGCGCCGCCGCTGTGGAGGCGCTCCTCCGGGCCCAGCCAGGAGGAGGAGGAGGAGGAGGAGGAGGAGGAGGAGGAGGAGGAGGAGGAGGAGGAGGAGGAGGAGGAGGGAGGAGGAGGAGGAGGAGGAGGAGGAGGAGGAGGAGGAGGAGGAGGAGGAGGAGGAGGAGGAGGAGGAGGAGGAGGAGGAGGAGGAGGGAGGAGGAGGAGGAGGAGGAGGAGGAGGAGGAGGAGGCCTCCACTTTTGGGCGCGCCGCGGGGGCTGCTCCCCGGCGCACGGGCGTCCGTTGGCAGAGGCGCGGCCGGCCGCTGGCGCTCGCGGCTGCCGGGGGCCCGGCGGCCCCGTCTGTGGGCCCCCCCCCCGGGGGGCCCTGCAGGAAGAGCCGCCGCGCGCAGAGTGCGGGCAGGCCCGGGGAGGCGCTGCTCCCAGGCTCGAAGCGGCACCTCCCCCCGCTTTGGTCCGTAGCCATTTTGGCTCAAGTTCGAAACCTTGCCGCGAGGCTTCGAGCTTGTCCGCAGCCGTGCGGCAGGCTCGGACGGTTCTGGCGTGTGTGCAGCCCACCGAGCCGCACGGGCGCGCCATGGGATATCTCGTCTGTCTCGTCTGTCGCGATGCTGGCAAGACTTCGTGGATCCCCGACACCAGCCCCCGCCAGAAGTGTAAGTTCTGCAGTACTCCTTTTCCTGGCCGCTCCAAAGGACAGGTCCCAGGAAAGCATGGTCGCAAAGGCGACAAGGACGGCAAAGGCTGGAGCAAAGGCAGTGGCAGTGAGCATGTCTTGTCTCCTCCCCGTGCTCGTTTCCACGATCGTCATGTTGATGACGGTACTGCCACTCCCCCAGTTTGGTCTTTGGATGAACGTCTTCAGGCTCCATTGGATGAGGAAGTGCAGGATAGATTCGGGTATGACTCTGGCGACGATGGTCTTGGCAGCGATCGTGGTTTTTGGGCTGATTACGTCGACGACGACGTTGATGGCGGCTGTGTCGACACCAATGGCAATGAGCTCTCGGTTACGCAGATTGATCAGATTATCAAGGCCCTTTTGGGCCAGCTGGATTCCCTCCGCCTGCTTCCGCCCACCAGGTATGTTCGTGATCAGGTCTCGGGTCTCCAGGATGAGGTGCAGCATCTCCGTGCGCAGAAGTCCGACTTGCTTACCGTTCCCCATAAGCGTGCGTTTTATAAGCAGCGACATCACTGGGCCAGTAAGAAGTTTGAGAAGATCTCTAGCCAGATCCGCGAGTTCGATCGTAAGATCCTGGACCTTCAGAGCGAAAGGGGCGCCCTCTGCTCTCGTCAGGAGCGGGTCGCCCAGGATATGGCTATGTGGCAGTCTAAGTTGCAGGATCTCCCGTCGAGCGAGCCAGTCCCTGAGGGCTTCGCGCCTCCAGATCTGTCAGCCGTGGCGGACGTTTTCGCAGCTTCCCAGGCAGTGCAGAGAGACAAGAAGCTTGCTCAGGCGTTGCGGGACCTCCAGGGTATCGTTATGTCTGGCTATGCTCCTGTTGGTGTTGCCAGTGAACCTCGGTCCCAGTCTGAGGAGCCCAGGATGTCTGTCGACCAGCAAGGTTCCCCAACACGTGTTGCCAGGGCTCCTCCCCGTTCCTCTTCCTCGCTGCCGCCTGCGCCGAAACGTCCTGCTCATGCCCCTGATGCTGCAGTTGATCAGTCGGGACAGTCAGGAAGGTTTTCGCCGTCGGCTGTCGCCACCTCTGGCCCCGCCGACACCCGAGCAGTGGTGGAGGGCTCCAATCCCAAGGGCCCGTCTGACCTTTAACACATCGGAGACCCCGCCCGACAAGTCAGCCTTCGGACAGAAGCCGCGTCGGGACTGGGTCATCGTGACTGTGAACGTTACCTCCTGGTCTAATGCCGATATTTTCCTGGAGGCTTATTCTGATCGGTTTGATGCTGTTGGTTTTCAAGAACTCTGTCGTGCAGAAGAGGCTATCGAGTTCGCAGTCAACCGTGCTCACAAGCATGGGTTCCATGCGCACCTCCACCCCTCAGTTAGTACTCAGAAAGGCGGAATGAGTTCAGGAGTGGGCCTTTTCTCGCAGTATGCCAGGTCTTTCTCTGAACTTGTATTGGATCCGATTGTTGTCATGCCCCCTCCAGAGAGATTTATCCTGAAGCTATGGCATGGGGTCGTGGATTCAGGTATCCCTTGGGCCAATGTCTATTTGCATACGGGGGAAGGCGCCGAGGATCGCAATGCCCAGCTACTGATGCAGGTGGCAGCAGTCATGAAGACCATATCCACCCCCTTTGTCATTTCAGGGGACTGGAACATGTCCCCCAAGGACTTGCAGAATACGGACTTCTTAACGCTCATAGGTGGGGTCATTGTTGCGCCAGATCGCCATGCCCGTGAGTCTGCGGGTGCCCAGTCGTTGATTGACTACTTTGTGGTTCACCCCTTGCTCTCGGCAGCAGTTAAGTGTGAGGTCTGGGAGACCCCCCTGACCCCCAAGCACCAGCCTGTCGCTCTTACCCTTCGTGGACATCTCCACTCTGATATGGTATCGGTTTTTCGGCGCCCGCCACATATCCCTGTTATCCGTTCAGTGGGGTGTTCAAACTGCCCGCCTTCCTGGGATGCCTTTCCTGATCCTGACGCAGTCTACTCTGTGGAGGATTTGGAACGCCTTGCCTCTTCTTGGCTGAAGACGTCTGCCCAGGAGTTGCTCGCCCTTTTCCAGTTGCCAGATCCGCAGGATTACACCAAGTGGGGTGAGCCTCCCTCGACCATCCAGATTTCGGTTTCCAGACTGTTTCCTGGAGGTGTGCTTTCGTCATGCGAAGGAAGGCCCTGGAGGTATCTCTCTAACCGTCTTGGTACTCTTCTATATCTTGCTGACAAGCAGCTGTGGCCCGCATATTGGAGGGCCTGCCGAGCCCTGCGCCGATATCGTCCTTCGC